GTGAACTATCGGACCAAAGATGGCTTAATCCCACGCTAATCTAATTCCAAAGCCAATTTCAATATATACACTGACACTTATCATCACTTTAAAGTGAGATGCAGTGGAGTGAACATCGCTAAGTGCTGACAGGATGCGTACTGCGCGTATGCTTGAAACCTTGATCATCCGTGCATGCTGCATCAAGGAAACGTACAGTGAGGCTTTTAGCTCTGCTACACGAATAAGATACTTTGTCTCTGGCGACACAGTTACATGTTTATTTAAGTAACACCAGCCATTTTCATCTAGCCAAGTGAGTGTTAACGGGGTACTAAGCTTCAGAGCATAGGTCACGAAGAGTAACTCAGATGAACGCGAGACGTATAACTGACATGCAATTCCCTCGTGTGCACCAGTTATCGATTGAGTAACTGTGTCGCGAAAACGTTAAGTCCTGCAGAATCCTTGGCTTTTACACTGGTGAGAGCGCAGCCTATGTGCCCCCAGCTACTCGAGTAATGCTAAATCTAACCCAATGAACCTTTGGCTTGGCACTTGATGCTCATGCGTGTGAGTTATCACTTCTCGAAACTGAACAGAAGGTCTTTCTGACGATAGGGTTTACCTTGTCTACTGTTTACTGGAAAGGAGTAATAAAAGGAATTCGTTGTTATGCGGTCATAAGCCACGTATGGTTTTGACATTAGAACTGACTTCCACAGGCTAAAGAATATAATATGCCACTACAGAAAACAGCAGTGAAAGTTGTTCAAATTTTTGTTCACAATGAATTGTTGGTTGGTGTTTTTAGTCCCACTACACTGGTTGCAACGACGACACCTAATATTTTAAAGCAAAGTAACAGGAATCTAGCACAGTACACACGACGCTCAAATTCGGTGAAAGATCTAGTGGAGGTCGCATGTTTGTGATCAACTTCCATTGTTTGTGCCTCGGGTAGGCTAACACTTGTACTGATTTACTGGCACTAGTTTCAGGTTTATTTCCTACTTCCGTCCAAGCCCTCAGCAGTTTTCAGTTTTACAACCATTAACCATGCACTTTCGTGCGCGGGTTTTGGTTGCTGTCTTTTGGTTGCCCATTTGGATAAAATAGCGAAATGAAGATTGGAATGTCGAAGCAAATTCAAGCGGAAGATGGGTAATACATATAGAGCGAGATGGGGAATACATATAGTGTGTTAGGAAAATAACGAGTGGATGCACGAGCGCCACTGTTTACGACACCCAGCCATATCACTGTCTCTAACCAAGCCCTCATCGCCATTCGACCACATGGTAAGCCGAAATACAGAGAGCAAGAAAGCCAAAAGAAAGTGGAAGTTTAGCGACTTTGTAAATGGAAAATACTGACCACCTTGTAGGCAGTATCTGAGAGATTAGTGTTTGGAAGTTGACTGAACTCAGTCAACAGTTAGTCTTATTAAATGGATAGCTCATCAAAGCAAAAACGTTCATCGATAGAACACGGTTTACTTAACCATTTCAAATCTAAATGAATCCCACAACATCCTGCAAAATAAAGTCAATTATCATCTCGGATTCCTTAGGTTTAAATAGATGATCAGGTTTTTTCGAAGGGGATTGCGGAAAAATTTATTTTCATTTCACGATAAATTTCGCTACATCCAAAGCAAAAGAAAATCTGGAAACCACCAGTTCTCAATTATTTTGGTTCCACCAGCAATGCAAACCCATCGGCACAATTAATGATCATAACCGGGAACTCCTCAGTACAATCCGGTATTCGACTGAACAGTGTATTCGCACTCTACTGGCAACGCCCCGAATTTAAACTTCAGCCTAGAATTATCTTTACCTTTTCATAATGAACACTTATTACTCCACACCTGATTGGTGAACAATGGAAGGGGTGAATTACATTACAACAAATGACAAACCCATTCAGAAACTTGAAGTAGTGAACCACCTAAGGTCTCATTAAGACAGAATTCCGTATTAGAATTTTATACTGGGTACACTTTGTCCCCTTCAAGTAACTGCCTTTGCAAAACTAGTACAAGAATTTTATAATTAGAAATATATACGGGATATTATAACTATTCAACAGAAGGCTGAAATCATGTGAACTTCAATCACCAGCGGAAGAAAGATGGTGTAAATTAAGAATAAACATGTAATGTTAATATTTGAATGAAGTTACGTTAAATACCAGGTCAAATGTGACCCACAGCGCAATCTACTAGTGCGCAAACCACTCTCACAACCAGAGCATACAATTGAAATGAGGTTTACGCCGTAACTAGGCTTTGTGTAACCGCGACGGATCACCCATAGATTACGTTGACGGGGTAGGCATGTGGCGCATATCACCTGACAAGTTTTCTGTACGTGCAACGTATCGAGACAGATAACAGGTGGAAAAAATAAGTGTGGTCCAGCTGACACCTGGCATGAAGTTGTGAAAGCCCTGACTGGGGAATTATTATCATTATTATATTTCACACGTGTCTGAGGACAGACTGTGTGCCAGGTAAATCATGATACAATAATCTTGAGGGAATTGAGTCATATTCATCCATTTCATTCACTGCGGCTGGCTCCTTGGAAAGGATAAGTCGGCTCCAGACATGATCATGTTCAAGATCATGGAGTTCCTAGGGAGGTTGGTGCGAGAGACGTCCCCAGTGTCACTCGGTGTTTTTTATTTTGCGGGCGTACCTCTAGCCTTTGCACAACCAAGCGCGAACTGCAAGGCAGCAGGTTATATAGGTCGAGCTAGGCTTTCAGGTTGACTTTGGGAAGTGTAAACAATTGTTAGAGACAATCAGTAATATGGTTGTCGTGAATAGTGGTGTTCGCGCACCTACTCAATTTCTTGGCAACCTTATTCTACCTGAATTCTCCGTCATTCTCTTGGTGCTTATTTCCACATTCTTTCTTCTAAAGCATCCAAATGGGTAACCAAAGACAGCAATCAAAACCACCGCGATGAGTAACAGGATTGGTGGTTGCATACACTGAGTCATCATTGTACAGCAAAATACAGTAAAGCTAACTTCACTGATCGCTGCCAAACTAGCAATGCATGCAAGGTCAGTGGTAAAATTCAAGGTGGACAGGGATTGGACCTACTACGTGAGACGGGGAAGAAGGGCGAACCTCTATGGTCAACACAGTACACAATCGAACTCTGAATACATACCGTTTCATGCATTCTGGCCTGATAAGAAATGACAACTAGAACGCCACTGCTGTCGGTTCTGTCATATCCTTCTCCAACCAACCAGTGGCGGAGTCTTTTGGATCCCAACCTGGGAGGCGAGTGACGCCCAATCTAATAGTTCTGTACATTTCTTCATGTCATCTGTTGACCTCCACGTGGTTTTCTCCATCCTGGAGCGGCTACAGCAGAACATAGAAAATGCATGACTCAGTATGATCTGGGTCATGTATTTTGTATAATCCGCTACATTTCACCCGAATGATTGTTCACTGAATTACCCGTATGAAACCTGTCTCACTGGTTTCCATTGTTGCTGATATTCGTTCAAGTCCCTAACCAACAATACTTATTCACATCTAACTTTGATCCACTATTCACTTGACACAGTCTGGAATCATTTATCACCGTTTTACAGCTCAGTGAACATAAGTTGACTTATCGCTGTCCAACTCTCAATAAACACAAAGTATACATGTGAAAGTTTGATAAGCCACAGCACCAAAAGTAATAACGCAGAAAAACAGAATCCATAATCAAAGAAAATACATACCCATTTAATTAGATGATAGGTAAACATCTGAGGTGCTTTCAACGATAGGAGTGAATACAAGAAAAATTCGCAATACAACCTTTTTATTACACATTTTGAGGTGACGGACAGTAAGATGAGTTAGCCCAGTAATTACACCACGTGGTTGGTTAAAGCATTACCTTTAAGGTTGTGTTAACGGAAATCCGTGGAGGACAAATCTTTACAAACACGTTTTTTTTAAATAGCTGTCCATGAAGTGAAAAAGTGATGAGCAAGGAAAGCTAACGCGAATTTTCTAATCCGAGGAAACCTACATCATGCATAACGAGTACCACTCGTTGCGGCGAGCCAGTACACGATTCAAATTACTTATGCTACCTTTGTAGTTTTCGTAAAACTTCGAAAATATTTAAGGCAGCCAGCTTCTGGGATTCTTACCTGGTCTTCGACGTGGTACTGCTTGGTGGCACAATCTGCAGATTACTCATCTTGAACGAAGTGGTTGCATGATCGCTTGATGGTTTGCACCATGGTTTCGCACTATCGGTTACTTGGAACTGATTTCTGTTTCGGTTTTCTAGAGCTTTCTTCCTCTTGGCTTCAATAAGAGCTCGCTGTTCGTCAGTCAATACATCGTCAACCATGCCCTTGTAATGAAATAAAAACCTGGTTACCGAATGCGCATTACTTAGGCATCAAAAACAGAGTTGTGTAGAACATTATATTTGAGATACAATATGATTAGGTGAACACAACTGAATGAAGCATTGTTCCCAAGCACTGAGCAATATTGTCTGTCATCAAACCCTCCACGTTTTCGCCAAGGTGTCGTTTTGGGTCCATGCGTCCCACGTTCTTCACCGCAAGTTGTTCAGGAGTCATCTTCTCTTCCTCTTCCAATGACTGAAAACATGAGTTATTTCATAAAAGACCTACCTTATGGTACGCTTTTATCAAATCCAACATTCCGGTTAGTGTTTTGTGGTTGCTCGTGCAATGTTTATCATAGTTAGCGAGAGCTAGTCCATCTTTCCATGTGTTTTTGTTCAGATCCATCAACATCTAAGTACTAAGTAAGACACAACCACAAACAGACCTTAGTTTCCCACTTATTTTTCCTGTAATTAATTGGTAGTGAATAATATTGTCGATTAAGCCCGTGAATTAAAGCTTGAATAGACGGTTTGTTCAGATGCCCCACATTAGAAGTTGTCTGCCTAGGCTCTTGATTGGCTATTACCAGATTTGGGTTGATGAGACGAAACGCGTCAATAACAACCTAAACCAAAGATGAACTTGAAGGTCTCAGAACTTACCTTTCCTTTCACACTCTGAATTGGATCTACCACGACAGCCACGGCGCGAGATGAAAGAGCTTCAAAGCTTTGTTGTGTGTTCATATCAACGCCGGACAGCCAACAACCAAACCCCGGATGAGAATGATACCAACCAACTACCATTTCTGGTCTAAACAATTTAGAGAGAGGAAAAATGAAACAAACCTTCCAGTCTGTTTTAGCATATCCAACATCTTTGCTTGAAATACAGGATCCACAGCCTCCACACTAACACCTGTACCCGACTGTGGCATTGCAAAGACGTCGACAACTGTAACAGTGTAATCATCAACGAACTCTCCTAGCATCAGGCCCATGACCTCCATCGGTACTCCTGCTCTACCATGTTTAAGCATTTTAAGTAGAGCTAGACTACTGATGTACACCTGTTCTGCACTGTCCGGAACCGGCCCATCTGTTGGCTGAGAGCTAGACTGTCCCAAAGCTGCCAATCCGTCAGCACTGAGCCTCAAAATGCCATCCATTACTATCAACAAGGTATTACTCAGCCAATG